GTTTGGCCCAGGAGAGCACCAGCTACAGCCTGTCTGTCCCTGTGCTGTATTGAAAGCCCAGCTGCTCCCAAGAACCAGCAGCCCCAATCCTCAAAGGCCACAGCTGAGTCACTTTCTTCATACTGCCCTGGATTATTAGTTCCTTGCCTCTCAGCTTTTTCCTCATCTACTCTCTCTCTCAGTTCCTGTGTTGGCATCCTTCCACTTATTGATAACAGTTTTTTCACAAGTTTCTGAGAATCATTAATGGTTGATACTGTCGACGATGGTAGCTCCATCCCAACCCACTTGATGGATAATGAGAGATGAGTCACTCTGGTGACCCTAAAAGTAGATGGCACAAAATATGCAAGGACATTCGAAAATCGATGTAGCTTTGTTAGCTACATAAGCACAGCATTAAATAAATGTGGGTGTGTGCATTTATGATGCAAAAAGATTTATACACATTTTAAGGAACGAAAAACTGTATTAAAATTGTAGATTAATACAAGTCACGCTTTACTTCTGCAATTACAAGAGGTGCTCAAAGTGGTTACTATCAGCATCCAGACACTTCTGACTATGGTGAACTACAGGTAATACATAGATAACATCTCTTAATATGTGTATAGAATGCATTCTTTGGCATTCCCAGTATATATATATATTATGCCAAGATAATAAAATAGCAATGTGACAACTGCATCTGAATCACTCAGAAGACAAAGTTCCTTAAGGGTCCTGCAAATTGTCGGGTCTTTTGGGGTCTGAGAATCCAAGATTTGCGTATTAATATCTGCTATGGTTTGAGTTTGTCCCCACCAAAACTCATGTTGAAACTTGATCCCAGTGTGGCAGGGCTGGGAGTTGGGGCCTAGTGGGAGGTGTTCAGGTCATGAGAACGGATCCCTCATGAACGGCTTGGTGCCATTCTCACAGGAGTGAGTTCTCATTCTGGCAAGACTAGATTAGTTCTCTCAGGAATGAATTAGTTCCACAAGAGTGGGTTGTTATAAAGCTAGGACGTCCCTTGCGTTTTGCCTCTTTGCACGTGTCTGCTTCCCTGTTGACCTCCACCATGTTATGTTGTAGCACAAGAGCCCTCACCGAAAGCCAGAGCCATGCCCTTGAACTTCCTAGCTTGCAGAACTGTGAGCTAAGTGAACCTCTTTTCTTTATAAATCACTCGTTCTCAGGTATTCTGCTATAGCAACACAAAATTGACTAGGACAATACCTAATCCAATTCATTCTTTGCCACATGGACTTGCACCTACCTGGGAGAGGCCAGAGCCAAAGAGGAACATTCCATGTACACCATCCTTACTTCTTCCCAGTGACTAAAGTTTGATGAATGGTACCGGGGTCCCCTAGCATTGAGACAGTAGGATGGGAGTCGGGGGAGAGGCTTTCAGTACAAGTTCATTGATGGGGGCCCACTGATGCCCAGTAGCTGGGCATAGTTCCCTGTGAATTCTATGCCATCCTTTTGCAAGAGCTATCTGTTGCCATGTCCTGGTAGTAGTCCCAGAGCTGAAAACAACCACCAATTTTACTACTAAGGAAACTGAGGCCTGGAGAACTGGCAACCTGTCCAAGATTACGAGTAGTGAGGACCAAGTCCCTGCTTTTCCAAGGTTGGCCCGAGAGTCAGTGGCATCATGGTCTCATCTTCAGCAGCCCCTGAGAGCTCTCCCAGACCCCAGAGTCCTCCCACATTGTTCATAGCCTGGGGCACCCCCAGACATTTTCTTAGATAGTCTCAATGTCAATGCTCTGTTTTCTTGTCTAATTAGGTTACCTTTAAAATGTGTATACCCTTTAACTCATTTTATTTATTTTCATCCTAAAACATAACTTCAGGAAATAGGTCAGAAGCACAAAAATGTATACACAAGGATAGTCATTGCAATTTTAACATAAGAGCAAAACCCTTTGAACTATCCAAATATCCAAATATTGTGATTTGCTTTATAAATTATAGTATATTTGTACAATGGGATATGATGATTTAAAATAATGATGTGTATATTTATTGACATCGAAAGAAATGTAGTCATTTATTAAATGAACACAAGCAGGTTTGCAAAACAGGAGCTAGAAGACAAAGGATCCAGTTTCTTCAAAATAATAATGGCATTTAAACCAAAATAAAGGGGTAGCTATAATAGATTAAAAGGAGTTTAAGAGACATATCAACCACATGGAATGCATTTAGATCCTGATCCCAGCAAACCAAGTGTAAAAAAGTAAATTTTTCTTTCTTTTTATTTTTTAGATTAGGGAAAATCTGATACGGATTGATTGGGTGTCAGATGATATGAAGAAATTATTACTAGTTGTGTTGGTTATCATAATGGGAATTATTTAATCATGGTGATTGTTCTTTTAAAAAGTTCTCATCTGCTACAGGTGAAAATGAAGAAAAGTAGGTAAAGTACATTCCCATTTACGTTTATAAACACACGTACATGTCTTATGTGGATAACAACGCATGGAAGGGACTGCAGGAAGCCCAGGAATTCATTCCTACCACCATCTCCCCTACGTGCTCAATCAACATTGACTGACTCAGTGAATCAGTCCCGGAACCAAGAATATGAATTCCCCACAAGCTCCCCAACCTTGAGAGGCCCGGCAGCCTCTGTGTGCTCTGGCACCTGGTTCACTTCCAGTCAACACTGAGGACCCCACCCAGCCGGCACTACCAGCATTAAGGAGCAGGCAGGGGTGTGAGGGTGGAGAGTTGAGAAGGACCCTACAGGCAACCTGGAAGGGAGAAGGGGAGGTTGCCCCACAGACCCTAAAGGAGAAAGGGAACACATTGGCTCCAGCAATTCCCTCCTGCAGTCCACCTTTGGCCACAGCAGATGTCAGTGTGAAGTTATTTCTGGACTCAGTTCCTGGTTCTTTGGTCATCTTCCCCTCCCAGTCTTCCTTGTGTAGCACAGTCCTTCCTCCTCCCTTCTGGCTCCTATTCTGCACACAAGAGGCCTGGTGGGGAGGTGGTGGAGCCAGAGGTTAAGAGAGGAGGGGCAGATCAGACTTACTGGATGTTTGCCTTTCCCTAGAACTGTCCTCTGCTCATGATGTCAGCCTAGGCTCAAAGAACAGAGTCCAAATAACAGGAAAGCAACGCCTATCTAATCTGAGGCAGCCAGCTAGGACTGAAGCTGGGCCTGACTACAGGTGGCAAGGCTGATTCACATCCCTGGGTGGCAGGCAGGTCTCTGACATCCCATCCCCATCCCCCTCCCACACACTGAATTCTTCCTGGGGCTCAAGGAGGAGCAGGATGGATAAGGGGTGGCAGTGAAGTAACTGAGGAGGGAGCTCATTGCCCATGAGAAAAACCTCCAAGATATCAGCAGATGTTCTCTGGTGCAGTCATTGCCCCTCACTTCCAGCTTCCCCATCCTCTTAAAGCCTTGGCTGAGTCAGACACCGAGCTCCTTCCCTAAACATTAAAAAGTGGACACAGGGTGTGTAGATGGCATTGCCACCAAGAAAGCTCAGTGCATTTTGCCATCAGTAGGAGTTGCTTGGTGGGGTGGTGGGATGGGGAGCAGACTTTGTCATCTGGGTCTGGACCTGTCAGGCCTATGTGAGGCAGCATGGTGTAAAGGATTTGATGCCAGGATTCTAGTATCTAATCCTGGGCCAGTCACTAACTCACTATGTGATTTGCCAGGTCACTTCCCCAATCTGAGCCTCAGTTTCTTCTGTTGTTAATTGAAGGGCTGACAATCTTTCAGTCTCAAGGTCTCTTCTGGTGCTTATATTTTCCTTATCTACACAATAATCAAATATTTGGCTTGCTGTGAGGATTAGAAATGACTCGTAAATTTCCAACAGTCAAAGAAATTATATTTGATGTAGAAAATGTGTCACTTTCAAAAATCCTAGGATCCCTCCCTCTATGAAATGAGTAACATAAATCCATTCCTCCTCAATCAGGGTTATAAACAGCAGCAGACGTCAGGCATCACCAACAGAATTTATTACCCAAAGCAATTTGAGAAGTTCCAGGCACAGGTCATGGCCTTCCCTGGTTACAAGAAAACCAGAATCTCTTCAAACTCACCCTCCACCTGCAACTAAAATGACGGATTAAAGAAGTTATGTCACAGCTATGATATCCTCATTCCTGATTAACAATCTCAAAGTCACAAGTGGGCATGACGTGATTTGGATCCAAATCCTACATATGAAAACCCCACAATTAAAATAAGACAAGCTCATAGATATCCTTTTGACAGACAGAAAGATACCAAGAGCCTTAACTGGCTATGAGAAAGAGAAAGATCTTCTGCTTATAATAACCTAACCGGATTGAAATGGAATTCTCTAATAATCATCAGTGAGTGTGAGTCTAGGAGGAGATGCTAATCTTGTGGGGTGGGGAAGTCTTGTGAGTTGACCAAACCCTCCTAGTCAGAGACACTATACAAGTCTCCTGACAGTCCACAGGTAGGCGTTTCCTGGTTGCCTAGCAACAAGAGAACATGCCTAAGGGTGGGGGGAGTGCTGGGAAGGTAGCTCTTCACTTGGAAAATGAAATAACAGAATTCTCAGGAGTTGAGGAAGGGGCAATCTTAAAACACTGAGAGGAAGTTCCCTCACTGTTCTACATTTGGGGAATGAAGCTAGTTTGACCTCACATCAAATTTCATTTTATTCATTTGATTGCTTTTAAAATTATACTGGACCCAGGAACATTAGTCCCTTTCTTATTCTCCTTTTATCATCAAACCAAATAGCCAATGTTTCTCTAGAAACATTATGCTCTTGGCCATTGTTTTGTTAAGCACTCGCCAGGCCATGTGTTCTTGAGCTATGGTCACCATATTTTCTTTCTTTTCTTTTCTTTTTTTTTTAGAAAGCAGGATTTATTGAGGGGACAGAAAAGCTCCTAGAGCAGGAGGGGACCCGAAGGGGTTGTCCGGCCACCATATTTCCTTAGCTTTGGCCCCCTCCCCTACCTTGGGGAGGTGAATTCCCTCTCTCTCTCGCATTTACTTTCTAAATAAATGATATTTTCCAATCTAAAAAAAAACGAAAGAAAAGAAACCTTATGCTCTAAATTAAAAATGCTGATGATCCCTCATCCCAGATTGTCTGAGTGGCAGATTTTCACAAAAATCAGCTTATGGGCCAGTTAAGTCTTGATGAAGTTGTCTCTTCATAACTCAGTCTCCACCCAACTCTTGACCAATCACAGGTGGAACAAGGAACCCAAGAGCCAGATTTCTCTCCTTACTCAGGGAAGGTACTCCAGGAAGAAGGGGAGTTCTTGGCACCTGCTTGCTAAACTCTGCTCTACTTGTTGAACTTTGCTCAGTGTGAACAGGCCATTCTGGTTACAAGTTCCCCCAAACTATCCCAACTTTTATCTTTAAGGCACACCAACTCCTCTGGGTAAGGCTATCTGCTTATAATGAATTATTATAATTATTCCTACCATTCCAAAGAAATTTCTGCATCAGAGTCCACCCCTGCCTAGCCCTTCAGTCCTGAGATGGGGATGACGGCTGAACCAAATTCACATCAGGGATTCTGGTCATTCGGGTCACACTTGAGCATGACTTTCAGCCCCAATCCCTTTTTGGATGTTTCAAAGGCCTCTAGAGCTTTCTCCAGAGGAAACCTATGGGTGACTAAAGGCTTCACATTCACAGACTTGGACGCAAGCATCGAAATCGCCATTGGCCACCTGCAAAAGATCACAAGCATTACATTCAATCTTTAGGAAGAAAGAGCCAGGTTCCCAAAACTACCAAGCACAAGGGCAGCTTGGCCATATTTATTGACAGCACTGTGGTTCTGCAGGGCCAATTTTACAAATTAACGGCAGAGGAAATGTCCTATAGTTTGCAATTTGGGGGTCCAGAGCCTGTCATCGATTGCCCCCACTCCTCACCCACCCTCTCACTTTGCCATGTCTTCCATGGAGCCACGAATTCCTTTGTCATGAAGGCATAGTATGGAAGCAGATAAGGCATACCGAGGAAAGGCATATAAGCCACAGGGAGGCAGCCCAGGATAACCCAGTCACACTCATTAACAGCCCAGCTTGGCAGTTTACTGGAAAACTGGTGCTCTCCTGAGAACACAGAGTTCAACACTAAAGCTGGGAGTGAGTGACTTTGCTGAGGAGAGATGTCCCAGACAGAGGGTCCTAGCAGGGGAGAGGGTGCAGCTGCAGAACATGGGTGGGGCGAATTAAGACCCCTCTCATTACCCTGGGTGGTCCCTGGGGCTCAGAAATGGGAGCCACAGGACTTGGCTTCTTTCTTCTTTCTTTTGTCCTCCTCCCCTTTAAAGAAGGGAAATGGAGATCCAGACACTTAAGGAAATGGAAAGGAGAGGGCCTGGGAGATGAGCAGCAGACACCCAGCAAGAGCAGGCTTCAAAATCTGCTTCTCTCCCTCCCTCTCTCCTTCCCTTCCTCTGTCCTTCTGTTGCTTCCCTTCTTTTTTTTTTTTTGAGTTGGAGTCTCACTCTGTTGCCCAGACTGGAGTGCAGTGGCCGCTCCCGGCCACCGCAGCCTCGACCTGCTGGGTTCCGGTGATCCTTCTGCCTCAGCCTTCCGAATAGCCGGAATTACAGGCAGGCGCTACCACGCCCGGCTGATTTTTTGATTTATTGTAGAGATGAGGTCTCGCCAAGTTGCTCAGGTGGGTCTCGAACCCGCGGGCTCAGGCAATCCACTCACCTCAGCCTCCCAAAGGTGCGGGATTATAGGCTGAACCACCGAGCCCGGCTCCCTTCCGTTCTTTAACCAGGAGTGAATGTTCTCTCTTTGGATTCCTATCATATCACATGTCCATCAGTGTGGTCAGGGAGTGCCCCTCATGAATAAATAGGCAGAGACTCCTGGTCCCAGAGGTCATGGGGCCTGCCCTGGTCTTGCTGGAGGTTGGCCACCCTGGCTCACCCACAGCATACTCACGTGTTACAGTATCGAAACACGCCCTTGATATCCACTTCCCGGATGGCTGCGTGCACAAGAGGTACTGTAGTCATCTCAGAGCCCAGCCCCACAAGCACCAGGGTCCCACCAGAGCGAGTGGCCTGAAAAGGAGGTTAAAAATAAGAAAACTCAAGATAACACGTACTCCCCACTTACAATAACACACTGTCATCACACAAATATTTTGATTACTTCCAAAAATTCCAGAGAATATGATACTTGCTGGATTGTTCAACATGTCAACCAAACTTAGCCAAGCAGTAGAATAAACATCATCTTCTTTAAAGATTCTGAAATAATACACAACCAACGAAGAACCAGGCATAGTAGGAGCATCTTCCAAGGCTTTATAAATCTGGTACCAGATATTGGCTCCAGTCACTTCCACATCTCAGCATCTGCTGCTCCTGCAAAGTGCTCCTCCACAAGGCAGCACTTTCACTAAACCTCCAAGGAATCACCCTCTCAGCTCACTGATAAGAAAACTACCAAGCACTATACAAACTACCAAGCACTATACAAATACCAAGCGCTATTGGAATTCTATGGCTTAAAAATGGCTTTATACATACAGGCTGGTGGCTAGAAATACTTTTTATTCCAGAGATGTTCACCCCAGTGGTATCAGCCATAATGGATTTCATCTTCCTTGAATGTTTATCTGCCTCATCAGTTCCCTCCTTGAGTAGGTCAGTGTTGGCAGTTAAATTTCTCCTGACAATTTCCACACAACTCTGTGTGAGTGTTGTGCCTGCTCCACAGCTTTTTAGGGATTGTTGTGCTCAATGTTGTGAGAAAGAAAAATGGACAATTTATTCACACTACATCTTCAGTAGAGTTAGGAGCAGCAGCAAGCATCTGTCAAGAGCATTCTAAGTGCTAAACAATGGAGCTATAGAAGGGTACACATCTTTGCTTCTATCTCTGAGAGGAAGGATACACCATGCAGTGACACGAGCAAGAAGCAGAACTGGAGGTTTGAGTAGTATGGGGGTGACTCCCAGGGTTGCTACCCTGGACTTGACCTCTCAGTCATTTTTCTGGGGAAACTGCTTCTTCATCAGCACTTCCTTGTTACCTGGCAATGAGGAGGAACACCACCAACTGGCCATCCCAAGCTGCCAAGAGGCCAGCAGGCTGCTGACCACAGGCCAAAGAATGCTCAGACTACTTGGTCATTGTCCTATGTGTGTGACCTCTGCCCCAAGGAGCCTATATTAATTTTACCCCAAGGCATCTGCCATATCTCATCACAAACACTATCCAGTCACAACCTGGCAGGACAGTGATGCTCAGATATGTCCATATTTGGTGACACTGCCTAACCTGCTCATTGGCGGGGTGGCCTGTAGCATTCTACAGCACCTGTCATGCATGACGGCTCCACTTGCCACGTCAGGAGAGAGAACGCTTCAGGTCTAGTGACGTCCTTGGGTCACATTCACCTCCACACCTTCTACAGGTAGCCTGGCAACCAGGTCCCTACCATCAACAGCTGAAGATATCAACTGTTTCAAATGCTCCAAGGGCAGGGCAGAAGAGGAAGGAAAACCGAGTCCTTAAGTCACCCAGCTTATACTGCTTTTCTGTGGAGTGGAGGTCACCAACCTGCCAACAACTTGAAGACAGTAGACATACCTTACTCATTGTCAAGGCCCTTCAAGTGCCCAGCACAAAGCTTGGCACACAGCAGGTGCCCAAGACACACCCATGGATAGGCTAATCACACATAGACTCACTGTCCCACTCTGGAGTTTTGACTTCTCTAGGCCCTTCCCACATGGTGACCACAGCCTGTGATGGGGCAGCACAGGGCACTTGTGGTACCTGCTCTTCCCTCCCTCCCATTGCTTCCTCAGCCCCCAGTGCCAAAGGGGTTCTTGGTAGGAGGAGGTTGAAGCAGCTCTGCCAGGGTGCTAGGCCTGAGGGCGTGCCACACAGTTCAAGGGGTCAGCTTTCCTCAGCAAGTCTCATGCTGCAAATTGCCCTAGTGCATGATCCAGCTGTGACTCATTAGGAAGGAGGAAGCCAGCGCTGCTGTGGAGAAGTGCCTGCGAAGCAGGGGTAGGAGTAGGAGTCCCCTGTGGTAGCAGCTGCCCACTACCCTCCCCAGCCTAGCCCTTTCACCCTAGCACAGTTGCTTGTCCCCTCCTTTTCCTCCTCTCCTAAGCAGCAGGACAGCATAAGGAAAGTTTAGATACTGGGGCAAGGCAGGGCTGGACTTGAACCTGACTCATCCACCTATTGTGGTGATTTGCTCTGAGCAAGCCATAACACTCTTTCTGGGTAACATGATAACTGCTTTTCAGGACTATGGTGCAGATTAGGAATCATGTTTATAAAGTACCCAGCAGAGGACCTGGCATACAGTAGGGCTTGTGGCCTGGAAGTGACTCTTTTCCCCTCTTTCCCTCATATTTTGATCTGCCAATGCCACTCTCTCTCCACACACCCAACTCCCTGCCAACTTCCCATAAATTGCCAGTGGGTCCCTGTGAGACAAATCAGACATTGGCAGCTTATCTGTTCCTAGTTCTGGGATAGAGCATAGGAGTAGCCAACTGTGATCCTGAAAAATCACCTCACCTTTGTGACTAACTGAATTAATGACTTTCACTTTGTATCAAAGACTGTAGTCTTCCTCAATAAAACAAGACAGGGATTTCCCACATTCAACTAAGGCATGGTTCCCTGTTCTTCCTGTTGATCTTTCTACTGAAAGTACTAGATTTTTATGATCACAGATATGATCATGAAAGCAACCCTATCCCAAAGTTCTGGGTCCCTTAGCATTTTCAAGGCCCATGTATATCAGTTACTTGTTTGAACCTCACAATGACCCAATGAGGATTTAAGATAAGTGTGAATGTTATCTCCACACTAGAGAGAAGAAAACAGATGCCAAGAGATAAATTCTGCTTGGGGTTTACACAGCAAGTTGGTGGAGAAGCTTGATCACAGGACTCCTTATTTCTGCCCCACTCACTCCCCTATGATGATTCCCTAGAGCTGCCCTCATCCCACTCACGTAGATGCCCGCCTGGATGGAGGACTCAGCCCCCGTGCACTCGATGGTGACTTCTGGCTTGCATCCCAGCAGACCTTCCACTTTCCTGGCAATTTCCTGAGGGCTCTCCTTGGAGATATGGAGGACTGAATCAGCCCCGACCTCCTTGGCTTTGGACAACCGAGAGGCAGACAGATCTAAAGGTGGAAGAAGTTTCTTTCAAACCAAGGAATTGAATGACTGATTAGAAAGAAAATAAAATGGAGGTGCAAGATCTGATGGCGAAAAATGTCTGGTGCCGTAGATGGTATCACTGAACCCAACACACATACTCTTTATACCCTCACATACTACCATACACACCACACAGCTTCTCTTTCTAGCTCTGGAATAGAGCATGGCAGTAGCCAATTGTGACACTCTCTCTTTCTCTCTTTCACACACACACTCTCACAGCTTTGCCTCACATAAAACATACTCACACCCTTCTACAACTTCCCCACACCCCCATATACACAATACAGCTACACACACACATGCACACACTCAGATAGCTTCTCACACAAAACACACACTCACACCTTTCTACAAACCCAACAACCATACAACACTATACACTCATCCATACTCACTATACACTCACTCATAGTCTCATAGATAACCTCTCCTCACACATACACACTCACCCTCTCATGTCTCCTACCTACCACATAATATCTCACACACAAACACAGACACCCCCATATACACGTGTCACACACACCACCACCTTCACATCACACACACAAACATGCCCCCTTTGCCTCCTGAGCTTGGTCAGATGGACCAAGGGCTGAGCTTCATCTTAGGACCAAGAGGGCAGTACAACCACTTGAGAACCACACACAAGGGACCACGTCCTTTTCTCCATGGTAGCCAACCCCACGTGTCACAAAAAGAGCCTTATCCTAAGTCCTGAGTCAGTAATTTCCTTGGTAGGCTTTTCAACCCTGGAACCCAGGAGAAAGGAGAAGTCCCTTTAGAAACCTAGTACCCTGATTGGATGTGGTGGCTCATGCCTGTAATCTCAACATTTTGGGAGGCCAAGGTGGGAGGACTGCTTGAGGACAGGAGTTTGAGACCAGCCTGAGCAACAAAATGAGACTCCATCTCTACAAAAAATAAAAAAATGTAGCTGGGTGTGGTGTACATGACAGCAGCCCCAGCTACTCAGGAGGATGAGGCAAGAGGATCTCTCAGATATAAGAGGTCAAGGCTACAGTAAGCCATGATCATGCCACTTCATTCCAGCCTGGGTGACAGAGCAAGATTTTGTCTTTTATTTATTTTTAAATAAATAAATGCGTGTGTATATTTGTTTATGGGTTTCTGTTTTTGTTGTTTGTTTGTTTTGTTTTGTAGAGACAAGGCTCTTGCTATGTTGCCCAGACTGGTCTCAAACTCCTGGCCTCAAATGATCCTCCTGTCTCAGCCTTCCAAAGTGCTGGGATTACAGGTGTGAGCCGCCATGCTTGGCCTTTGAGACCCTGTCTCGAAAAAAGTAAAAGAAAGGAAGGAAGAAAGTGACGAAGGGAGGGAGAGAGGGAGGGAAGAAGGAAGGGAAAAAGGGAGAAGGGAGGAAGCAAGAAGAGAAGGGAAGGGAGGGGAGAGAAGGGAAGGGAGAAAGAAAGGAAGAAACCCAGTACCTCAGGAAGGAACTAGATCTTATGCCTCTGAACCAAACTATAGGCCCAGGTGTTTCCTTGTCAAGGAGATTTAAAGGAAGAAAACCTTACCAGTCATCACTACTTGAGCTGCTCCCATCGCCTTGGCCACAAGTAAACAGACCAGCCCAATTGGCCCTAAACAAAGCAGGAAATGGGACACGTTTGTGAAATATTAAACGTCTGCTCTCCCCCTTGTCCAGGCCATGGGTAAAAGCCACATCTTTTGTGTGTCTCTAGCATCTACCCCAGTGTTTGGCACAATAAGACCTTAACAACTGTGTGTCAAATGCAGAAGTGAATGAATGCATGAAGAACTATTCTTTACATGAAGTATGCTCCTAGTGCTGGGTTCTACTTAATACTCTCAAATGGCAGAGCTAGAGGTTTTCCACTTACGCTTAAGCACTGCTCAGAGATCATTTCAAAGAATCTCAAGGAAACATATACTTGCTCAGAGAATAAGAAGCCTCAGAAGATCTGAACATGTTTTCCTGTTCTCTCTTTGACCCCACCTTTGTGAGAACCTATCACAGCTCCCTCAGGAGAGTGATAACCTTTCTAGGTGCCCTCTGAGGATTCCCTGGAGGGTGTCTTTAAATGAGCTGGTACTTTGGATTGACACAGCTGCTCAAACAGCTCTAGGATACTCAGGTGTCCAAGAATTAGCCTGAGACCACATGCCTCCCCACAATACCTGCATGCTAGGTAACACTATGGTTTTAATAGAAAAGCCAGACCCACAAAATAAAGCAATGCAGAATATCTTTGGGGATTTGTTTTGTGTATACACCCCCTGGGAACAATTCTGTAAATTCTCCCAGAAAACAAAACACTGGATAATAATAGCTGAAATGTCCAACAAAGGGTGATTAGTTAAATATACTACAATGGAATAATACGTAGCTACTAAATATTATGCCATAATGCTATCTATTGACATGGAAAAATGTTCATAGTATATTGATTTTTTTTAAAAATAGGTGCCAGGAGCAGTGGTTCACACCTGTAAGCCCAGCACTTTGGGAGGTGGAGGTGAGAGGACTGCCTGAGCCCATAGGTTTGAGACCAGCCTGGGCAACTTGGAGAGACCTCATCTCTACAATAAAACAAAGAGATTAGCAGGGTATGGTGGCGCACACCTGTGGTTCCAGCTACTTGGACAGCCGACACGGAAGGATCGCCTGAGCCCAGCAGGTTGAGGCTGCAGTGGCTATGAGCGTGCCACTGCACTCTAGCCTGGGCAACAGAGTAAGACTCTGACTCAAAAAAAAAAAAAAAGAATAGGTAAAAAGGAAGCATATTTAGCATAGTCTCATAAAAATAAAAATAAAAAGCTAGATTCTATGCCAATATATTAACAGTGGTTTTCTCAGGCTAATGGGTGATTGGGTTATGGGTGAATTTCTGTGCGTGTGTATGTATGTGTGTGTGTGTGTGTGTGTGTTCATACATGTGTGTGGCATGTATGACTTATTTTCCATTTCTATGGCAAAAGGTACTAGCTATGTAGATTTTTAAAAGAAAAAAGGAGCCGGGCTCGGTGGCTCAGCCTGTAATCCCGCGCCTTTGGGAGGCTGAGGTGAGTGGATTGCCTGAGCCCGTGGGTTCGAGACCCGCCTGGGCAGGGAGACCTCATCTCTACAATAAATCAAAAAATCAGCCGGGCATGGTAGCGCATGCCTGTAATTCCAGCTACTCGGAAGGCTGAGGCAGAAGGATCAGCGGAGCCCAGCAGGTCAAGGCTGCCGTGGCTGGGAGCGTGCCACTGCACTCTGGTCTGGGCGACAGAGCGAGACTCCAACTCAAAAAAAATTAAATTTAATTTAAAAAAGGCACCACCAGGCACAGTGGCTCACTCCTGTAATCCCAGCACTTTGGGGTGACCTAGGAGAGAGGACTACTTGAGCCCAGGAGTTTGAGACTAGCCAAGACCTCGTCTTTACAAAAAATATCAGCTGGGCATGGTGGTGCACACCTGTAGTCCCAGTTTCTCAGGAGGCTGAGGCAGAAGGATTGCATGAGCCCAGGAGGTCATGGCTGCAGTGAGCTGTGCTCATGCCACTGCACTCCACCTGGGTGACAGAGTGAGACTATGACTCAAAACAAAACAAAACAAAACAATAATCTGTCACCTGAGTCCTGTAGTCTGCTAGCTCATTGAGGCAAGTCTATTCTACATCCATCACCCGTCTCAGAAAGCCCTGTGATCACGTACTTGACTCTGCCAGACAATCACTCACAAACGAGTATGAGGAACACCAGATCACACCCACAAAGAGTATGAACGTACTATCTAGGTCAGCTGCAATTAGAAGCACAGAATGATTTGGTCTGAGGCTGCTAGGGCTTGTTCCACTTGGCTGGAAACAGGATGAGAGAAGTGGCCAGCTACAACCCTACTGTAGGCAGAGCGGTCTGGGTGCTACTCCTCCCACTGGCAGGGGCGGGGCCTTCCCCATTCATGGAAGGGACTGGGCTAGCGCTTCTCTGTATGATTCAAATGCTTCACAAGTTGCCCTTCCCTTTACTATCAAAAATATTTCCCTAGTTTCCCGTCAAGAGTTCAAAATTAATCACAATTCATTTTTAAAATGAACAAAAGGGTACGTTGCTTAGGAAATGTAACATAAGTTACTATCATGTCTGCAGATATTCATTTATTTAGCCAATCCCTGTCCCTGGAGGGGGAATTAGATGGGCAGAGAGGTCCCCACATTCCCAGTCAATGAACCCATAACCAGGAGTCTTCTGTTTCTTACCAGCTCCACAGACAAGGACCTTGTTCCCCAGGGTAACTCCGCCTCGCCTGCAGGCATGAATTCCCACAGAAAGTGGCTCGACCAGGGCCCCTTCCTCAAAGGTGACATTGTCGGGAAGCCTGAGGAGTCATTCAACACACACAGTTAACGCCTCTGTTACTATAATAACAATAGCTAACATGTACTGAGCGTTTATGTGCAGGGCAATGTGCTAAGCAATGTACATACATTCATTCATGTAAATCCTCAGAACAGTTCTGTGGTAGGTACTACCATTCCCATTTTACAGATGAGGCTGAGGTTTGGAAGGTTAAATGACTTGCCCCAAAGGTTCAAAACTAGTAAGGGGCCCAAAGTGTTCAAATTAGAAGCCATATGTGTCTGATTCCAGAACCCAGGCCACACTGATCCCTCTGAAAATGGTTTTCTTTAGAGATATGACTTCAGTGAATATGAACACATTATGTTTTCTTCAGAGTATTATTCAAGCTAAGATATGGTGGTTGTCATTAATCAATGAAAAGTTCATTTAACAAGGGGTTAACATGGCCACATTCCAGCATCTCATCTGCTTCTGGAGTGGATGGCCTTTCTGGCCTCACTTTAGCAAACAATCCCAATAATCAGCAACTTCGCAGAACCATGATTTAGCAGCAGGCATCACTCTGTTCATCACTCCCCGCAGTATACATTCCAGAAGAACCACATCTGATGACAGCAGGTAACAGGCTGTCCTGGGACCGGTTAAGATGGGAAAAGGACCTGTTTCCCAATTATATGCTGTGTCACATTCACGACTGGATTCTAGGTTTTCACTTCCACTGGCATCTGGACCCTACCAACAATACCACTGATAGTGACAGCAAACATTTGCATAAGACTTTACAGATTAGGAAGCATTCTCATCCATTATCTCATTTAATCCTCACACTAACCCTATCAGGCAGGAAGGGCAGGTTTTATTTTTACCTTCATTTTACAGAAGAGGAAACTGAAGCCCAATGACATTAAAAGGCTTGCCCAAGGTTACAAGGCTAGGGAGAGGAAAGCAAGATCTGAACCCAAGTCTTTCGACCCAACATCCTCTGTCTGTCACACCTCAGCTGTCTCTTGGGACAAGCAGCTCTATAGCTATTATCCAATATCCGCTAATTCCTCACTGCCCCCCAAACTTCCGCATGTAAGAACATGAAAATCTTCAAGTCCCAAATCTTCAAGAAAGGTACCAGCCAAGCCATGTGCTCATCCCCACGGTCCTCCTGCCACTGTTCCCAGTCCTAGATAGATGAACTCATAGGGTCTTCCCGTCACTGTCCCTGATCCTCGAATGAATGACTCACAGAACCTGTGGTGGGAGGCTGTTTCTCCCTCCCTTCTACTTCTCTGTCATTTCCCCTACGCCAACTCACTCTCCTCCTCTGACTGCTGTCACACTCCTTCTACTCATCCTAGAGGCATCAATTCTATATAACGGAAAAAAGTTTAAAATGAAATAAGGAGGCTGGGCATGGTGGCTCATGCCTGTGATTCCAGCACTTTGAGAGGCTGAAGCGAGACAATCACCTGAGCCCAGGGGTTCAAAACCAGCCTGGGTAACTTGGCCAGACCTCACCTCTACAATAAAAAATTAGCTGGGCATGGTGGTCCACGCCTGCTGTCCCAGCTACTCGGGAAGCTGACGCAAAAAGATCTCCTGGGCCCAGCAGGTTGAGGCTGCGGTAGCTGTGAGTGTGCCACTGCACTCCAGCCGGAGCAACAGAGTGAGACTCCAACTCAAAAAAACAAACAAACAAACAAACAATAAAATGAAATAAGGAAGATTCCCAAACTACCAAGGAGAGATGAGACTGTGGAAGGTGACAAGTGAAGACTGTTATCTAGGAGAGTAGTCTACCAATTAAGCAGATGCTCCCTCATCTTACCAGCACCCAACACAGCCAACCGCATGGGAGAGACACCTGGAATGGAAGCAGGGGCACATGGAGTCCTGAGGCCCAGCCCCTTTGTCACTGATCTTGGGAGAGTCACTGGGTCCTCCCTGCCCAACCTTGTCCAGTAGTGGTTGATGGGAAACAGGGATGAGAAGGCTCCAAATTTCTTCCCAGTCCTAACTTTTCATGACGTTATAACCTTTCTGCCAGACCAGAGAATTACAAGGTAACTTGGTGGTTTTTACCACAGGGTTCAAGGAACAGACAAAAGGGAGCAAAGGATGACCAAGAAGCCAAGGGGGAAGCAGGAAGATAGAAAAAAATAGGTGGGCAGGAAAATAAAGGGGCTGTGGTAGAATAGGAATCACCCCAAAGGAAAAACAGAGAGGAGGGCTTGGATCTAGGGCTGAACTGGGGACACAGGCAGAAAGCACCCTGGGAGGAAAGGATAGGCAGGGGTTGACAGCCCCCTAGAGACCCTCTTCAGCCCTCTCATTGTCACTGCCAATGAGAACCTTGTCCCCTCCCCCATCATTCTCTACAAACTACCAGCATAAGGCTCCCTTTTAGGCCTAATCCTGCACCTCCATACTCCAGACCACAAGGCTAAGGCTATGTCATAGCTTGACACCATTTATTTAGCAGCTACTATGTGCCAAACCTCATTCTGAAGACTTGATATGTCTTTCTCATTGGATCTCATCAATAATTCTGTGAGGAAGGTGCTATTATCATCTCTATTTTACAGGCAAGGATATTGAGGTTACAAAATTTAAGTAACTTGCTCAAGGCCATGCAACTATAATTGGCAGAGACTAGTAGTCAGTCTTGGGCTTTACCATTATGTTCTTCTGCCTTCCATAAAATGTTGTTCAGTGACTTAACTTGGAAAGGGCCCAGAAAAAGGCATGTTGATTCAGGAACCACTGGTGAAAAGTGGACTCTGCTTTCTTCTAGAGCTGGTCCAGGTGTTGACTTAAACCCATCACAAGGTCTTTGGCCTATGACTCCTCCCAAGGCTTCCAGTAGGCACTAGAAAAACTCAGATCTGTCAGACTGCTCCTGTGACAGACATCTGGTCTCCATTTGACAAGCCCCATTCTGTCTGACAGCCACTACCAAGACGAGGCTGGGGTGGGAGGAAAGTGAGCCTGGGTGGGGTCAGAGGGAGAAAGACCTGTTGGCACCCCAGAGCTCCATGGGGCCCGTATGGAAGATATGGTGGTTTGCTTCTGCCACACCCAACTTCACCACAAAGCCATTGCAAGGGCAAGAATTGGGGGAGGGGAGGGCCGTGGGCACAGGGCAGGCGCTTAAGACTCACAAAGACCCCAGTTAGACTCCTGGTTCTGCTCTGTGCCCAAGTCAACAAGCCTCCTTTTGTCTCAGTTAACCTAATAATTGTGCCCACCTCACCATTATTCTTATGAAGGTTAAATAAGGGCATGCAAAGCACTTATTAGCACAAGGGCAGGCACAGAGTAATAATAACTATGACTTTATATGCATTGCCTTAGTTAAAGTTCTGGCAATTAAATAAAACAAGCAGAGAAAAGTTAAATCATTTCCCCAAATTCACTCTCTAGGAGGAAGTAGATCCAGGATTTCAAAGCTCAAGCCCTGGCACCCACCACGCCTCCTCAGTAAATGTCAGTTTTTGCTGTTGTGGTGTGTTGCTATTGTCAAGGTCTGCTTTTTTTTCTGAGTCAGAATCTCACTCTATCACCAGGCTGGAGTGCCATGGCATGATCATAGCTCACCACAGCCTTGACCTCCTGGGCTCAAGCAATCCTCTCACCTCAGCCTCCTGAGTAGCTAGAAATATAAGCACGTGCCACCACACCTGGTTCATTTTTTTATTTTTTGTAGAGACAGGGTCTCGCTATGTTGCCCAAGCTAGTCTCAAACTCCTAGTCTCAAGAGCTCCTCCCCGCTCAGCCTCTCAAAGCGCTGGAATTACAGGTGTGAGCCACTGCGATCATCCTTATTGTAGAGTTCATTATTGTTAAAGGTTCCCTTCCTGGTAGCTGCAGTGGAAATCAATAATGGAAGATGAACCATAAAGAGTTCTCTCCAAGATGGCTGCAGAGGGTGAGTGATTTCAGCAACAACTGTCTGTTGTTGCTCTAAGGTGAAGAAGAGTTAGACTAAAAGACTAAAGCCAACCACTGTGAGTCAGTCTTAACTATGGGGAGGCTACCCTCCCTCAGTGCCACCAATGCCTGCCAGCGGGATGCCTTGAGTTTGGAATTACAAACGGAAAAGACTAAAATAAATCACCACCGGAAACTAGAAGAAAGAGCACCAAACAAATGGGGGAAAGAGGTCCCAGGTGGCACAGCGGGTCTGTGGACACTAACTTGTAGCAGAAGGCTGCCTTGTGCTTGTAGAACCAGCAGAGGTTCCCATCATCAGGGGGAGTGGCACAGAAGAAGATGGACGGCGACAGATTGTATCGGCCAATCTTGCAGAATTCATCGGTTTCTCGGGGAGCTCCAGGCTCTATGGCAACGCGATCACCTGGAGAGGAAAACAAATACAGTCCGAACCGAGGGTAGGGACAGAGTCTGCCCCCTCCTTGGCTTGTTTCCTTGTTTTCCAACCTTTAAAAACAAGAGCAAAACCAGAAATGCTCTGAAGGCATGCATGTTCATGGGGAGGTACCAGATGGGAAAATCTAGCCTAATAAGCCACTTCCTCCTTGGGTACCCAGGATGCCCTAGGTAAGCAAGGAAACTTGGGATGCAGCACAGACACACTCTGGGGAAAAAGACCAGCCCACTTCTCCGCAGTCCGGTGTGGCCTGCTCTTTTTTCATCCCCTGCAAGTCAACCCGCTCCTCCACCTCCATAGCCAGAACCAACCCCATCTCTAAGGCAAGCTAAGTCCAGTTCCTACCTCACACTGCTACATAAGAGGTAGCTAGTGCATGGGGTTTGCAGGCATTTTTTCCTTCACTTGTTTTGAAAATATGTAGCAAAGCTTGTTACAAAGACAAGAGCTATAACTACGCCAAGTTTTATGCTCGGTCTGGCTGTGTTTAGACAATAGCAAGGAGACAACTGATTCCTGGTTAGCAGAAGAGCAAGAGAGGTCTCTGGTACAGGGGAGAGTAACAGTCAAGGCCTGTGAACAGCCAGATCTGTCATACTACTCTGTCCTTTTTAGAAATCCAACTTGAGAATTGCTCTCAATTGTTATTTTTCCTCCTTTTTATTATGACAAATTTCAAACACACAGAAAAGTTTAAAGAATTATAAAGTGAAGAATTATAAAGTGAACATTCAGATGCCTTCCACCTAGATTCTTCAAGAAACATGTAGCTATATTTGCTTTATCATATATCCACACATCCACCCCTCCATCCCATCTATCTCTCTTTCCATCAATCTATCTTTTCTGATGCATTTCAAAGTAGGCTACAGACATCAGTATATTTCATTCTTAAATACTTCAGCCTACCTATCATTAACCAGAGTTCAATATTTGTTTATGGTTCTTTTTAAAGGTAAAATTAACGAAAAGCACAGATCTTAGGTGGATCATTTGATAAATCTTCATAAATGTATTACCTGTGTAATGTAAACCCCCTATCTAGACACAGAATATTACCACTACCTCAGGAATGTCATTCCTCTGTATCCCTTCCCAATCCCCACCTCCATCCCCAGAGGACACCAACGGTTTGTTTTGTTCTTGAGTCGGAGTCTCACTGTCACCCAGGCTGAAGTGCAGTGGCATGCTCAGGGCCACCACAGCCTCAGATGATTCCTCCGCCTCAGCCTTCCAAGTAGCTGGAACCACAGGCACGTGCCACCATCCTTAGCTACTTTTTATTTACTTATTGTAGAGACAAGGTCTCACCAAGTTGCCCAGGCTTGTCTCAAACCTGTGGGCTCAAGCAATCCTCTCGCCTTTGCCTCCCAAAGTGCTGGGATTACAGGTGTGAGCCACCGTGTCCAGCTTGTTTTTATATTCTTTACCACAGATTAGCATTGCCTGTTTCAGCATATCACAAAAATGGGATCATACAGCATGTACTCTTTTGAATCTGGCTTCTTGCGGTTAGCATAATGTTTTTCAGATTGATGTATGTTATTGTGGCACCAACAGTTTTTTCCTGTTCATGGCTGAAGAGTGTTCCAGTATTGGAGTATACCATAGTTGAGCTTAGCTATTCTACTGTTGATAAACTTGGTTGTTTCTAGTTTTCTAGTTGTTTTTTTATGAGTGTCTTGCCTCCCCATCCAAGATGTGAGTACCTCAGGATTAGTCAGTCTTCTGCTCTATATTTATTTTTCCAAAGTACCTAGCATTTGCTAGGCAAATTTTTTATTGCTAAACATACAATTTAAGAATTGGGGGAAAGAAACCACGAGACACAAATGTCACTAGTATCTAGAAGGAAATTACTTATTGGCAAAAATTTCCCCTGGAACATGGCAAGCAAAAGCTGTTGGTTAATGACAAAGTACCACTTCTCTGTTGTAAAGGAAAGGGAGAGAGATATGAATAATTCAAGGTAAATGACCATTCTGAGATTTGGGGGTGGTTCACATGGTTAGTACCCAAGCCTGCATTGAGCAACTCCTTGACGCCATCAGTAAAGCAGATGGGCTCCATGTTTGCAGAAAATAGAAAACAGATCTATAGGATGTTTTGATATCACAGGTGTTGCTAGACACCAAACAAAGTTCCAATTGGATTTAAACTCCATCTGAACTTGGGAAGTGACCCATACCAGCTAATCAGAGACCAGCCTGGAAACCCTGGAAGACCTCCTTCCTCAGTCAACTCCACAGTGAGGATCAGAAATCTCCCATTCTGGCAGCCAGGAACAAAGCTGGAGACCAATTAGTATAGATGCCAGTGAGGCAGGACCCTGTGTGGCACAAGCCCAGGGGATGAACTACAGGCCTTACGCTGCCACAGTGCCTGGCTGTTCAGGAAGAGCCTGACCAGCAGACCCTATTGGGAGGAAGCAGGATAGAGTTTACTAATGATGGCGAGATCAAGACCTGCCATTTATCAAGTGCCAGGCACCAAGCAAAACATATTACAAAATCTCCCTTCTTCCTTCTCACAAACCAATAAGGTGGTATGAGTTCTGCATTAGAGATAAAGAAAGAAACACTCAGATGGCCGCACAGTTATAAGCTGTGGAGGTTTGACTGACCACTCTCCTCTGTACTAGTGTTAGGGAACTTCTGAGCCTGAAGTGGATGTTAGGAGCCTACTGAAGCCTAATAAGGCATGGGAGGTCTGGCCTTAATTTAGTAGGGACACGTTAAGCTCTTTCTAATGTCTTTTTGTGCTGAAAGTTCTCACAAAATAGTGTCGAGTCCTGGTACATAGTTAGTGCTCATTAAAAGTAGTGGTGGTTGGAACCAACCATGTTGCCCATCAAAAGAGAACTGGATAAAAAAAAAATGTGGTACATATACGCAATGGAATATTACGGAGCTATAAGGAAGCACAAAATCATTAACTTTGCAGTAACCTGGGTGGAATTAGAGTCTATAATACTGAGTGATATTTCACAGAAGCAGAGAACTGCGTATCACATGTCCTCACTCATAAGTGGACCTTGAACAACTACCATAATACTATAAGAAAAGGATTGACAGTAGCGGGAAACTATGGGGGGGTGGGGGGAGCAGGGAGATGGGATTGACAGTAGTTGAAATCTACCTGGGGAAGGTGGGGCATACCTCATCAACATAATGAATATTTGTATACTTAACCCTGAATTGTACCCCACAATTTTAAAATAAAAAAATTTAAAAGTTAAAAAAAAAGTAGTGGTGGTAATGATGATAGAAGTACTAACTCTTGGCTGGGCTCGATGGCTCAGCCTGTAATCCCAGCACTTTGGGAGGCTGAGGCGAGTGGATTGCCTGAGCCTGCGAGTTCGAGACCAGCCTGGGCAACTTGGTGAGACCTTGTCTCTACAATATATCAAAAAAACAAAAAAATTAGCCAGGCATGGTAGTGTGAGCCTGTAGTTCTGGCTACTTGGAAGGCTGAGGCGGAAGGATCGCTGGAGCCCAGCAGGTAGACACTGGGGTGGTCATGAGTGTGCCACTGCACTCCAGCCTGAGCGACAAAGTGAGACTCCAACACACACACAAAAAAAAGAAGCACTAATTCTTTTTATTGTATTTATCATTATTATATTATTTGAACAGGTATTATTGTAGAGGAAAGTCAGCCGATAAGATTGATAGCCAGATAGTACATAAACTAGGAATATTTCCACACCTTAGATGTATTAATTTATATGTTTAAATACTGTAAACAAGTATTAGGAAATATTCAATGAGTAGTTTTCTTCTTTCAAAGTGAGATGATTAGAGCTTGAAGTCAAGCTAACATACGAAACACTTTTAATGAAATTTTGTATTCCAAAGGAAGAAAGTACCCATAGAAGTCCTTATGGCCACTAAAATGTATATGTAGATGTCTCTTCCTCCCATCTCCTCTGACTCTCTACTTTCTCTGCTTCCCAATGAACTTGTTGCCATATATACCATTAAGGATGAATTCTTACCTGGCATTCAAGATCCTCCATAATCAAGTGGAGTTTTATATTATTCTGTTTTATCCTCTAATTATTGATATAATAACATAATAATTCACAGTTGTACAGTGCTTTTTAAAGAGGGATTTTTATATATATTATGATTTTTAGCCTCTTCACTAACTCCCCAACACAGAACCTGCAGTCTGAACAGCACAGACTTATTGGAAACCCAGATATGTTATTCCCACCTCTGTAATTTTATTGTTCTGTTCCTCTTAACTAGATATTAGTTTCTGGCCTCTTTACTAACTCAGTACAAAGCCTTTCTCAAGTCTGAAGATGGTGGGTAACCCAGTGATTTTGAGCATTTTCTCTAAAGTCCAAAAGACCCAGGCAGGCATCCCAGCTCCAACACTTGGGATGCAGTATAGACTTACACTCTGGAGAAAAGGACCAGCCTACTTCTCCACAGCCCGGTTTTGCCTGCTTTTTTTTCAGCTTGTGCAACTAACTAATGTATGACCCTAGGCAATAACCAAGTTTCAATTTGTTCACCAATTAATGAAGATAATAATGATTATCTCATAGAATTGTTTCAAGAATAAAATAAATACTTATACACGTAAGTGTTTAACTTAAAAACTAACCTAGCAAATCAATACAAATATTAGCCACTTTTTTCTTATTATTATTTTTACTGTTAAATGTCCAACTCACAGCCAGGTGCAGTGGCTCAAGCCTGTAATCCAAGCACTTTGGGAGGCCAAGGCAAGAGGACTGCCTGAGCTCAGGGGTTCGAGACCAGCCTGGGCAACTTGGCAAGACCACATCTCTACAATAAATAAAAAAACTAGCTGGGTGTGGTTCCAGCTACTTGGAAGGGTGAGGCAGAAGGATCACCTGAGCCCAGCAGGTCGAGGCTGCGGTGGCCATGAGCGTGCCACTGCACTCCAGCCTGGGTGACAGAGTGAGACTCCAACTCAAAAAAAAAAAAAAAAGTCCAACTCAAAGACCTATCTCCTCCATAAGACCATCATGAAGTGATCTTTAATCACTTCCACCCACAACAAATGTTTTTTATTTGAACTCCTAAAGCCCATTTCCCACACCTAATTGGTCTTGTTCTCTAATAGTTGGCATTTATGTAGGTTCTGATGTCTGGTTTCCCCAGCTAGATCTAAGGATCTGGGAATCATATTTTCTTATTTTTTGATAGCCCTCAAAGCACCTGGCACAAGACTGGACTCATTGTAGATAACTGACTAAGCACTTGCTATAATTTACATTTAGAGAAACCCACTTCTTGTTAAACTTATATTTAGAGACCTTGTCCCACAGGTGAGAACCTATCATCAGTGGCTGTTGAAAGCTGTGACCCTTCCACTTTGGGATAACCTTGCAACACCACAGGAACTTTCTTGTTCTCCACTAATGACAAACAAGAAACATGTCCGACTTCTTCAGAGATGGTCAATCCCTCTTCAAGTGGCTGGGCTCAGAGAGCCTTATAACTAACACAGGATGGCACCTCTGGTCAACTCCTCCTTTTCCCCAAATAATGTGATGTTATCTCCAGGCTGCACAACAGCCTCATCACAACAGCCTCATCAGCAAAGGAAGGTTAAAGTCAATAGCTAGCCTATGCCAAGACAGCTTGGATTTTATTCACTGTGTCCAGAAACAACATAGTCTGCCACAGCTAAGAATTCTTTCCTCTGGGAAAATGAGTTAAACAAATCTGGGAAAAATATTGGTGGTTACCCAGCATTTGAAGGAAGTTTGTGGTTCCTTTGCCCAGAACATTTTCTCCACTCCTTTACTTGTCTTCAGGTGTTGGATTAACTGTCCCTTCCTTGGCTTGATGCAGTGGCTCACACCTGTAATTCTAGCAATTTGGGAGGCTGAGGTAAGAGGACTGCTTGAGCCCAGGAGTTCAAGATCAGCCTGGGCAACATGGTGAGACCTTGTCTCTACAATAAATTAAAAAGTTAGCCAGGTGTGGTGGCATGTACCTGTAGTCTCATCTACTTGGAAGGCTGAGGCAGAAGAAAGGCCTGAACCCAGCAGGTCGAGGCTGCAGTAGCTCTGATGGTGCCACTGTACTCTAGCCTGGGCATCAGAGTAAGACTTTGACTAAAAAAAAACCCCAAAAAACTATCTCTTCCCCAAATGAGCCAGGGGTAAGGTAAAACATGCCAATCGCATCCTGAGTTCTCCTCTACTGCCCTTAACACATTGTGATTAAGTAACTGTCCTAGATCTTCCTTTGTGTATGGTAAGATGCATGCATGCAGGGACTGAAACTGTCTTGCTCACTGCTGTACCCCAGAGCATAACAGAGGGCCTAGCCCAGTGAAAGCATGCACAAATATTTATGTTGAATGAATGTATAAATCAGTTAGCTGAAGGACTTTGCTGACCTGGTTTTAGGTGCTTTACCAGTGATCCCACTTTTACAACTGTTCCTGAAGCTTCATGCCCCAGCACCATGGGCTTTTTCACAATAAAATCCCCAATTCGACCATGCTGCCAGTAGTGGACATCTGAGCCGCAGATTCCAACAGAATTCATCTTGATCAGCACCTCTAACAAGAGAAAAGAGGAGAAAATCAGTGAGGGAGGGAACACCTCCTCTATCTCTGAGGCACCCAGTGATTTCCCTCTGTATGGGGAGAGGGCTGGGTTTCCTGGACAGGAACAAACTTGAGAAAACAGAGGAAAATAAGCAACCCAATTAAGTCTCTTACAGCAAAAAAAGTTTCTGTAGAGCAAATTAACTGCAAATGATGGTTAATTTTACATGTCAACTTGGCTAAGTTATAGTGCCCAGTTGTTGGTCAAACACCTATCTAGATGTTAGGTATTTTTTAGGTGTGATGAACATGTAAACCAGTGGACTTCAAGTAAAAAAATCACTCTCCATATTGTGGCTGAGTCACATCCAATCAGTTTAGAGGTCTTAAAAACAAAGCCTGAGGTTTTCTGAAGGAGAAGTAATTCTCAAGGTTGCAACATCAACTCTTACCTGAACTTCCAGCCTGTTGGTCTGTACTATAAATTTCAGACTTGCTAGCCTCCATGACCCCACAATCACATGAGCTAATTCCTAAATCTCCATTTTCATACACACGTGTGCGCGCGCGCACACACACACACACACACACACACACACACACACACACACACACACACACATCTTACTGGTTTTGTTTCTCTGGGAAACCTTGACCAATACACTGGGTAAACAAGATATTATTAGTAGTATGAAATGTACCAGCTACTTAAGGGAACAAACTGTTTTCCAGGAGATAATTGTTTCCAGACAATTAATATGATATATCTGATTCTTATCTATACATGAGAACTATTTGGGCAGAATCGCAGCTTGGAAACACTCTGTAAACTGTCAGACTGAGTTCTTCATGTCTATTGTTTTCTAAAAAGGTGAAGTTTTATTTAAACCACCCAAAGATTTCTACTAGGATTACCCCTTCAAGAGTTTGAATAAAGTGAGATTAAGTGGTATTGTTGTTGTCAGTTTTCCAAGTTTAAAATAATGATGCTCCTGAGCCCCTTTGCTGAAATAAGTACTAAAGGATATGGGCCTAGTCTGACTGAGATGACCAAGTCACACACAAATATTTCCCCGAGAAAACGTTCTGCCTTAGAAAGACAAAGAGACCCAAAAACTCTATTATGCATTCAGATGTTTTATACACTGCCCTTGCCACAGACCACCAGACATCCACCAGGGGAAACTCTACAGAACTTCCTTCCTCCTTGGTTTTGGTGAACAGAGTAAGAAATGACAGGATGACAGGGTAGGCTGGGTGCTGTGGCTTACATTTGTAATCCCAGCACTTTGGGAAGCAGAGGCGAGAGGACTGCCTGAGTCCAAGGATTCAAGACCAGCCTGGGCAACTTAGCGAGACCTCATCTCTACAGTAAATCAAAAAAGTTAGCCGAGTTTTGTTGGCATGTGCCTGTAGGCCCAGTTACTTGGAAGGCTGAGGCAGAAGGATCACCTGAGCCCAGTGGGTTGAGGCTGTGGTGGCTATGAGTATGCACTCCAGCCTAGGTGACAAAAAAAAAAAAAGACTAAAAAAAAGAAATGACAGGGTGAACTCTGAGATCAAAGCTGGAGAAAAGTCATTTGAATTAGGAAAAGTACCTCAGAGTTTCCTCTCTTGAAGCACCAAGACCTTTAGATTAGATTAGACTTGCTAAATGCTTGCTGAAATGTACTCTCTTTCCCCCTTCCGAGGCAAGAGTAACAAGAAATAAGAAACTGAAAGCAGAATGCTGCTTCAGAGAGAAGCTGTACCAGGACCTTCTGAGTCCAAGATAGTCTTTGTTTGGCCACTTCTGGAATCAACACCTTTTCAAGATATGAGGTGCCTCTTTCACTTCTCTGAACGTGCTAGCTTGGTGAAAATGATTAAACCCTAAATATACAATGCTTGCTAAGCTATATTCTATCAAGTCTGTATTAATATCACTAATATAAGTGATACTTATAAGTGACCTATGAACTGTAATATATAAGTGATCTACATATTACATTATATAGATGACTTACCACTTATAAGTCAGTAACTCAATTGACCTTTGAGTAGCAAAGTTCTGGAGCCACCAGGAAAACTGCCTTCGACCTGATGTTCACACAGAATCTGCAGTTCTGGGGTGAGATGAGGCAGGGTGGGAAAGGACATCCGCAACTCATCAAGGGCAGAAAGGAGAACTGAGTGGCTGGGTGTAGCAGGAGGAGGATGAGCTAGCTCCCAGCCTCACTTTAGGGTACTGCAGATTATGAAGGAATGAGATTCTAGGGATAGGAGGGATTGGAAAACAGCAGAGATCTGCCTTAGCCAACTGGGTGGTATGGCCTTCCCAGGTTCAGACATCACCCCAGACATCAGCATGTCAGCAAAGCCCCAAGGACTCACCCAGTGAGAGGTCTGGAAGAACTGGAGCAAAGAAAGGTGTAGGGAATCCTCTCACTGTGTACTCACTCACTTCCTTGCTCTGTTGATTAGGGTAGGGGGCAGGGTTCCATGCAGCCCCTCCAGCCCGCAGTGGACAGAAGGTCCTGGGTTGTCCTTTGCTTTGGTAACTGGCCTTCCTGAGGGAGTGGGGAGGACTGGCACAATGCTCCCTCTGTTAATTAAAAGATTAAGTTCTGTAGGCTCACTCCTTTCAAAAGTTTGGGTTAGGACATTGGGCAACTCCAACAGCAGCTTATAGTAGACAGGTACTCTGTCCTTAGGTCAGAAGAGGAATAATTCTGCCTTTGGTCTATACACTTTACATCAGAAACTCTTTAGGACAAGTCAATCAGTCTGGGAAACAATTAAGTTTATCATGTAGCAGCCAAAATAAACCTCCCACCCAGTCATGCTATGGACAGCAGACTAGATTGTCAGCCCAACAAAAGCATAGATTTTAATAGAGGCAAAAGTAGGAAAAGAGGGGTAAGGGAATAAGGCACATGTGTCTCCAAGGTAAACAAGAGGAAAACAGCAAAAGATAAATTGAGTTTCCCAAGAACTTACCATCTGGGCCTGGTTCAGGGATAGGATAGTTCTCCTAAAAGAAACAAAATAGAAAAAGTCATTTAGCATGCATACTCATTTTATCTCGTGACCACATTCCATTAAAAAAAATTAAAATGGGATTCATTTATCATCTCTTCTTGGAACTAAGACATGCTGCTGCTGGGTACATGGCTGAGGGGATCACTAAATGCAGAGCCCTTCAACACTTTTCTGCATAACAGACCAACTGACCCAAACAATACCATGCAAAACAAAGTATACAGAGGACCATACAGGGTGAGATCAAGTTCTGAAGCTGGCTTTCCTCTCTGGGAAACTAGCCACTGCCCTACTAGCTGAAGGCCCAATCCTAGTCCAGGAAGAACAGACTCTAATTGCTGACCTCATCCCATCCCAAGTTGCAAATTACTAGTGCAACTTGCCCAGAAGTAAGAAAAAAGTATGCTACATAAACCTCCAGGCAGAAAGGATGTTTGGGTCTCTAGAGCTGTCATCCATATCAGGTCCCTCCCTCTTGGAAAAACACATTCTTAGATACAGATTTGTTTGGTCTGGCTGACTCCTCCAGGGAAAGGATGAGGGCATGTCTAACAGTCGTTTATGAGAACTTTTCTTTCTAGACAGGTGGGAGAAAGCATCTGTGCTGCCAACATTTACATCACACAAAGACTATATCTGGTCCTCTTCCAAAATCTCCCATGTGGAGTTTTAGTGCCCCTTCGGAACACATAAGACCTGCATTTTGGCCATTCTCATAGGTTGATAAAGCAATCTGTGCTTCTGGCATTCACAGTTAGTAGTATTGGCAGTAGTATTGGTTTATTAAGCTTTTTTCCCCTGTTGCCAATGGCCTAGGAAAGTCCCAGTGACAAGGAGAAAGGCCACTGAGTGGCCAAATCTAAGTGTTCATTTTGTCCTCCAAGGAGAAGAAGAGATGTTAACTGTTCACAGCGTCTGGTAGTTACCAGACAGTGGGCTGGGCTTTATCCTCATCATGGCCCTCAGTTTGTAAATGAGAAACCTGAAGCTGGGAACTTAAAGACCATACTTTGGTCAAGGTCATACCACCAAAGAGTGGATGAACCAGGACTCAATCCAGGTGTGCCCTACCCTCAAGCCTGCTTCTAATGTACTCCATGGCACCCCCAAGGTGAAATATGTCTTTTCTCCTTCAGGAGTGATGCAAAGAGCCATCAACCATGTGATAAGAATGTCAGAGCTGAGCTCCGTGAAGAATGATCTGGGAGGAGGCCGTACTCAAAGTTTGCCTCCTTCGAAAAGGGCTTCCCCAGCTGCTTTTATAAGCGTTCTCACAACATTAAACAACACTGTAGAGCACTAGACAAATGCTGTTCATGATGATCACTGTACTCAGTGATCAGTGGCTTTTTTGCTAACAAGATAATAAACACCTTGATGCCAAAAACCATTCCTTCTCCCTTCAATACCAGGTACAGTGCTTGGTCCCAAGTGTTTGTACTTGTTATTTAACTACTCTCCAAAATAGTGTTTCTACGGGAAGGTCTGAGGTTCCAACTCACCTAAGCCCTTTCTGTTGAAGTGGCTTAGTGCTAATTTGAACTCTTCCTCTCCAGTGAGACAAAGCTTAAAGTGACAATGCTAATACTGACTGGCTGACAGTGATCAATGGCTTCTCTGTGTCAGGTATTGTGTACTAAGTGCTCTACAGGCATTTCCTCATTTAATCCTCACAAAAATCCTAAGTGGTAGAGTCAATTATTGCTCCATTTTCCACATGATGACACTGAGGAACTGGGAGATTTAGTAACCTGCCTGTGGTAACAATAAGGTAGTATATGGTAGAGCTGCAGTCAAAGCACTTTGATGCAGGGGAAAAGGGGCTTCAGCAGATTTTTGCTTGTTTATTTGTTTTAACCTCTTAATAGTTTACATCTGGAAGGAAAGAAGTCTGGCAGGAAGAGAATCCACCTAGAAATAACCCTCTCAGGGTAGACGGCTGTCACCAAAACCTTTCTGAAAGAAGTCACTGACACTACATCTGACATCATACATCAGGACTGCTATGTAAAATTATGTTTCTGTTATACTGGGTGAAAAAAAAATTTTTTTTTGAGTAGGAGTCTCACTCTGTTGCCCAGGCTGGAGCTCAGTGGCACGCTGCTGATAGCCACCGCAGCCTCGACCTGCTGGGCTCAGGTGATACTTCCGCCTCAGCCTTCCAAGTAGCTGGAACCACAGGCACACATCACCATGCCCGGCTAATTTTTTTTTTAATTTATTGTAGAGACGGGGTCTCACCAATTTGGCCAGGCTGGTCTCAAACCCCTAAACTCTTGCCTCCGCCTCCCAAAGTGCTGGGATGACAGGCATGAGCCACCATGCCTGGCAATACTAGGTGAAATTTTAAACCGCAGGTTAAGTTGCAACTGAAGAGCAAGGTCTTTATTTCAAACATGGAACAGCTTCCCAACCTCCTTCCTAAAGATGCTAGTAGGCTAATTTCCAGGCACCGAGAGATTTTCACAGCTTACTATTCATATCCTTGACTCCACTCATAGCTGAACACCCCATTTGGGAGTGGAGAGGTAGTAAGATTTAAGTTTAGAATAATAGTTGGGTACACTATGTAGGCCCTGAGTCACTAAAGATTACCACTGTAAATATATATATATATATATATATATATATATATTTTT